TGTATATATATATATATATGTGTATATATATGTGTATATATATATATGTGTGTATATATATGTGTATATATATATATGTGTGTATATATATGTGTATATATATATATATGTGTGTATATATATATATGTGTATATATATATATGTGTATATATATATATGTGTATATATATATATATGTGTATATATATATGTGTATATATATATATGTGTATATATACATGTGTATATATATATATATGTGTGTATATATATATATATATATGTATATATGTATATATATATATGTATATATTTATATATGTATATATATATATATATGTTTATATATGTATATATATATGTATATATATATATATATATGTATATATATGTACATATATATATATGTATATATATGTATATATGTATATATAAATGTATATATATACAGGTCCTTCTCAAAAAATTAGCATATTGTGATAAAGGTCATTATTTTCCATAATGTAATGATAAAATGAAACTTTCATATATTTCAGATTCATTGCACGCCAACTGAAATATTTCAGGTCTTTAATTGTTTTAATACTAATGACTATGGCATACAGCTCATGAAAACCCAAAATGCCTGTCCCAAAATATTAGCATATCATGAAAAGGTCCTCTAAACAAGCTATTAACCTAACCATCTGAATCAACGACGTAACTCTAAACACTTGCAAAAGATTCCTGAGGCTTTTAAAAACTCCCAGCCTTGTTCATTACTCAAAACCGCAATCATGGGTAAGACTGCCGACCTGACTGCTGTCCAGAAGGCCATCATTGACACCCTCAAGCAAGAGGGTAAGACACAGAAAGAAATTGCTGTACGAATAGGCTGTTGCCAGAGTGCTGTATCGAGGCACCTCAGTGGGAAGTCTGTGGGAAGGGAAAAGTGTGGCAGAAAACGATGCACAACGAGAAGAGGTGACCGGACCCTGAGGAGGATTGTGGAGAAAGGCCGATTCCAGACCTTGGGGGACCTGCGGAAGCAGTGGACTGAGTCTGGAGTAGAAACATCCAGAGCCACTGTGCACAGGCGTGTGCAGGAAATGGGCTACAGGTGCCACATTCCCCCGGTCAAGCTACTTTTGAACCAGAAACAGCGGCAGAAGCATTTCTCCTGGGACTGCTGCTGAGTGGTCCAAAGTTATGTTCTCTTATTACATTAAATTTTGCATTTCCTTTGGAAATCAATGTCCCAGAGTCTGGAGGAAGAGAGGAGACACAGAATTCACATTGCTTGAGGTCCAGTGTCACGTTTCCACAGTGACTGGGGTGTCATGTCATCTGCTGGTGTTGGTCCACTGTGTTTTATCAAGCGCAGGGTCAATGCAGCTAGCTATCAGGAGATTTTGGAGCACTTCATGCTTCAATCTGCTGAAAAGCTTTATGGAGATGAAGATTTCATTTTTCAGCACGACCTGGCACCTGCTCACAGTGACAAAACCACTGGTAAATGGTTTACTGACCATGGTATTACTGTACTCAATTGGCGTGCAAACTCTCCTGACCTGAACCCCATAGAGAACCTGTGGGATATTGTGAAGAGAAAGTTGAGAGGCACAAGACCCAACACTCTGGATGAGCTTAAAGCCGTTATCGAAGCATCCTGGGCCTCCATGACACCTCAGCAGTGCCACAGGTTGATTGCCTCCATGCCACGCCGCATTGAAGCAGTCATTCATGCAAAAGGATTCCCGACCAAGTATTGAGTGCATAACTGAACATGATTATTTGAAGGTTGGCACTTTTTGTATTAAAAACACTTGTCTTTCATTGGTGGGATGAAATATGCTAATTTTTTCGGACAGGCATTTTGGGTTTTTGTCGATAAACCTGGTGTCTGAAGTGCTGATAACAGACAGCCAGCTTTAATGAAGGTGAAGCTTGATCAAAGTTCTCCTCAGCAGCTGAAAACAGAAGGACTGAACTCCTGCTTTAAATCCAGCTAAATATAATAGTGTGTAATCAAAAGTGTTTTACTGTTTTACTAATAATCAACAAGTAATCAACTAATGAAATGTATTGATTTTTAAGAATAGTATAATCCATTGTATGATTGTGTGATTTACTTGGAAAGTGTTGAAGTAGAAAAGAGCAAAGAGGCTAGATGTAACCATAGGGCAAGTCTGAACAAGTCTGGACATGTTTTAAGCAGAAGAAAGAGAACAAAAAGTCATAGGGTTCATTTCAACTCATCTTGTGGTAATGCACTTCTGAGCAAATAACAAGAACCAGCTTGTTTTTCTCAAAGTTCTGGAAAGTACCCGAAAACTGGTCTGAACCGGTTGAGGTGCAAAACAACAGACAAGTTACTGGAAAAAAAGATGATGTAATTTTCCAAAACCCCTCCTTAAGAGGAGGAGGGAAAAGGGGTCTTTAAATACAGACTGAACGGATGAAACTTGGTCAAAAGCTGAGTTGAAGAGCTGAGCAGAAGGGACTACAAGCAGGAAGCAGAAAGAGGATCAGAGATGCCCGCAAAGAAGTTGGATTTTATCGGTTTGGGACAAGGCTGGGATTTTACTTCTCTTCTCACTGAGATGGGATTGGAATTAGGTCTTCACTTGCCACAGCAGACCGTAGAGGAATCCTATTTCTAAGAAAAGCTTGACCCGGGCTCGTCCAAAGCTCTGATTTCTTCAATTTGGCATAAGCTGCTCCTGTTTAGGGTAAGGCCCGTATTTCCCTCCTGGAAAATGGGAAATATGCCGTTTACCGACACAAAGATTCTCTGAGAGTCACCTCAGAATCATGGTACGCGGACTACCCTGTCCTTCTGGTCTAAATAAATTAATTCATCAGATTAGAAATTTAGCATACAGGATAAATTCAAGAGTATTAAACTGGGTACTAGTGGGATTTGCTCGAAGGTGCTTCTGGTTCATGAGGGAGTTGAGAGAGAACCTCTTTTGGCTTGATGTGTGAAAGGTCTGAGGGAAGGTAGTGTTCACAAAGTCCCCAAGGGCTCTTGGGGATTATAAGTCATCAGGAAGATTCCATTACCTTATTTTAGTGAAGAAAGTGTATCCTGTGTAATCATGAAAATTAATCATTATAAAATTGTACCTGTTGCTGTACCCCTGCGCAAATTGTTGATTAAAGCAAAGCAAAACGTATAAATCTGGACTATTATTTCACCCTTATTGAACAAAAACATGGCAATGCTTGGTTCACTTAACAACATCAATAGAGGAGGTTTTGAAAGGTTCATTAGTTATTGAGTGACAACACCCTTGTGCCCATTTC